TCCTGATTTGGAATGAATATCTCCAATTTTTTGTCATCCTAATTTTCAGCTGTACTTTCTCTCTCCGTTCACTTTCCCCCTATATTCTGAGCTTCTTTATACTGTTGCAAACTGATTTCAAAGTACTCTAAGCCCTATCAAGTCAACAGAGGGGAGAAGCTTGTACTTCCCAGTAGGCTTTGCAAAACCAAACTGCTGTGGCTTCTCCTAATTTGTCGGTTCTTTCCCATTGATAACATTAGCCATCTTGATCACACTCCAATGTTACATGGTCACATATTCATTTGTGAAATGGTGGAGTGTATGGTACTACTATCTGTCTGTCATGGATGACCAACCATCTAATCATTGAGCCAAAGAAACAAGTAGATGAAAGACACATGATAGGGCCTTCATAATATCTCATGGGCCTTGTTCACAGATGTAGAAATATAGGTCAAGACTCAAAGGCTGGATGGCCATCTGTCAAGGGTGATTTGAATGCAATATTCCCGCTTCTTGGCAGGGGGTTGGACTGGATGGCCCATGAGGTCTCTTCCAACTATTTGATTCTATGATTCTATATCTTCATGCTCAAACTCGGGACTGGAGAACATGTGCTCTCTAGGTGTTGGTCTAGGGGTGATGGGAGATGTACTATAATACCCAAAGGACCGTATGCTTCTGCGGTAGCCAATAAAATAAAACCCTTGGTTTAGCACAGATCTTGATGTTCCAGAACCTGGAAGTAAATAGCTGCGAGTATTTTCTTACTTGTAATGAATTATTTTCTTACAACAATTAAGGTTTAACAAAAAATGTTAATGATGAGAGGAAACATGATTCCTTTTTCCGGTGAAAGTGTAGTCGTCATTTTTAGTTACATTAGTTCTCTCACTAAATGGCGGTGAGGTGTTATCACATGGTGCGAATGCCTCGAAGCTTTAATGCTCAAGTCATCAGAAACACTTAAAAGATACGTAGAAAAAACAGAGTGTTTATCTTCTTTCTTTCCCTAGGGGAATTCTCCACCCAGTTAACACAGCCTTGTGAGTCTGACCACCCTTAAATGGGCACTAATTTAATTCTGTCCAGCAAATCACTATTGGGATCCTCTGAATTCAATCTGGGAAGGACTCCATTTTAAGAATTGCTTACCAATAAGTATTCTAAACGATTCTATAAAAAGCTGTTGTATTGATATGGCTTCCACAATTTATGGATCAATTTGGAAGTGATGGGTTGGTGACAACTTCACAAGAGATGCCCAAGGTACACCATGTGCTTTTTGATGCTTTTCTGAAGATGTCTCAGGACCCTATATCTCAGGGTCTGATTCCAAACTTTCTGCTTTAAAGTGGATTATATGAATCTGCACTGCCAGATATTCTGGGCTAAACAGAATACTTGGGAAGCGCCCTCAGAAGCAAATCCTGCACAGAGTGAAAAAACCAAGAGCAGCTGACACAGATCTTGAAACACATATTGTTAAATTAAGGTTTTTCTCTCTCCACACATAGACATTGATCAGTATTGTCTTCTTACATTATTTTTGGAAACCCAGAATACTATGTTTGCCATGCTCTCTACTACTCTTTTACTTTTTCAAATCATAAATACTTGAATCCCTTGCCAAGTATATAACAATTTAGATCATGGTTCCTAAAAATAATTCCTTGAGAATGTGGCCCTCACGGTGGTATATTGTGCAGTGTAACAGGATACTTCATCAGATTCAAGAGTTTAGATAAGCAGACTGCAGAAACTATTCACACAAGAGGGCTCTGAACCTTGAAATTCCATGGCCTCCTTTGACACTTTGCCAAGAGCCCAAGGTTTGCAACTATTTGCATATTTATTTACATAATGAGAACAATATCTAAAGTCAGGGTTGCAAAAAAGTCTAAAAGGGAAGAAAACTTTCTGTTCTGATCATGGCATCTTAACACTCTTGTAACTTCCTTTGTCTGAAAGTACTACTTACTTCCATGATCCTCCCTGTAAATTGTCCTTTCCAGATTAATGTGAATGAATCCCTCTTTGACACATCCAGTTGGAAGTAAAAACACCTTTAATTTCCCTAGAGTAAAATACATCTGTCCCCAACCAAAAACCACCTGAATGTGAATAAACTGAACAACTCTTCCTTCCCTGGGTAAATTATGTTTTTGTTTAAAGAAGAGGGAAACACCAACCTCGGTTTTGTTCATTTGTTACTGAAACCTGTTGAAAGGAAGGTGTTTGCTTAAGCAGGGGTTCTCAAGCATTTCATTTGGCTAGTCAGGTTTTTTTAAATGACCAGGGCAACAGCTGGAAAACAGAAGTTGTGAACCTATGTCTTGGACAACGCAATCTGTGCTCAGCTGAGTTTCACATATTAGGGCAAAGGGATCTTGGAGGCTGAGAGAGAATGAAATTGTTAGCATAAGCTTTTCTAGAGCAGAGCTTTGCAAATATTTCATGTTGGTGACACACCTATTTAGACAAGCATCATTTTGCAACACAATAATTCAGTTTTACTAGTGAACTAGAGGTTAAATCAACCCCTTATAAAAGATATGGACATAACATAAAATGTATGGAGATGCAACATATCTCTAGAAAACCTTTCATTTATATATATATATTCAAATATACAATTTATTGCTTATTTCACATAGATTCAAGTTTCTCATACAACACACCTGCACACTGCAGCCAACACACAATTTTATTGTGGCACACAGTTTGGAAAGCTCTGTTCTAGCAGAATACATCTACACTTTCAAATGAATGCCATTTAGAGCACATTAACTGCCATGGCTCAATCCTATGCGATTTTCCTTCTTCTTGGCAGGGGGTTGGATTTATTTATTTGTCGTGTCAGGACAACCAGTCAAATTATATTACATTTCTAACAGAACAAAGCAAACAAACAGACAAAATACAAAATTTGTGAGTTTGGTAGTTGATTAAATGTCCTTTGACCAGTATCAGGCCACTTGGAGTGCTTCTGGTGTTGCTGCAAGAAGGTCCTCCATTGTGCATGTAGCAGGGCTCAGGTTGCATTGCAGCAGGTGGTCAGTGGTTTGCTCCTCTCTCCAGTCTGTTCAGCACCTTCCAAGTCGCCCAGTCCTCTGTGTGCCCAGGGAAGAGTCTCTCATTTGGTATCAGCCATTGGTTGAGGTTCTGGGTTTGAGCCTGCCACTTTTGGACTCTCACTTGCTGAGGTGTTCCAGCGAGTGTCTCTGTAGATCTTAGAAAACTATTTCTAGATTTAAGTCGTTGACGTGCTGGCTGATACCCAAACAGGGGATGAGCTGGAGACTGGATGACCCATGAGGTCTCTTCCAACTCAATGATTCTATGATTCTATGGAATCCTGGGATTTGTAGTGTGGTGAAGCACCAGCAACCTTTGGCAGAGACCTTCTAAAAGTATAGTTCCCATGATTCTACATCATTGAGCCATGGTAGTTAAAGTGGTGCCAAACTTTATTAATTCTACAGTGTAGTTGCACCTTAAATCTACTTCATTGGATACATCTAAGCAAGTAACCTTAGTCTACAAAAGCTTATGCTATCAAATTCATTCTCTAAGTTTCTAAAGTGCTGCAAGATCTCTGCATATTGATGTTCCAGACTAACACCACTATGTCTTTGAATATTGGGACAAAATCAGGGATCACACTTTTCATATTGAATGATAAGAACTGTATGTATATGTGTAATTCAGAAACCATGGCATTGCAGGGCGAGATTACCCTTTAGTTTGGCACCATTTTCTTGACTGTCCCTTTCTCCAAAGCATCTAAGTCCAAGTTACGAACAAGATAGGTTCTGTAGGTTTGTTCTTTAGTTGAATTTGTACATAAGTCAGAACAAGTACTTTTTTAAAAGTGTAACTCCAGCCGTATATATGTGGTTGGGCTTACATACAAATTGTGTGTTTGTGTGTGTATCCATACCCACACATGCTTTGGATAGCATTGGGCTGCCAGATTCAGGCCCTCCATCTCCTTTTTCAAAGTTCCATTTGTGAGCCGCAGCCATTTTTCTTTGTCAATTTGGCTCTCAATTTTTGCCAGAAACTGTCCATGGAGGGCCATGTTTTGCCAGTTTTCTCTTCTGCTCTGGATTGTGTTTTTACGGTATTGCCTCTTTGTCTTTTGCACTTTAAGCAGTTTACGACTATTGACTTCCCTCAATGTTGGTTCTCAACTGCCTTTCACATAATCTGCCAGTGCATGTTTCTCTTCTTCTCCTTCCACTGTTTGTTTGTTGTTGTTATCATCTCACTTCCTGTTGTCTCACCCCCCATTCTTAACTATGAGTCATTTGTAACTCAGATGTTTGTAACTCAGGGACCGCATGTACTTGATTCACAGAAGAATACTTAGAGAAAGTAGAACAGGACGTTTTTCCACAGTATAGTCCATATTAGAGAACTGTGGAAGTTTTCATCCAAAACACTTGGATGACCATATGTTCCTCATCACTGACATTACCTGTATGTGTTTGTCTCCACACTGGGAAGGATAACAATTTTTCCTGCAACTTTGGAACTGAGGCCTCACTCAAGGTTGTATCTACTCTTAATGGCAGGGGGTTGGACTGGACGGCCCTTGTGGTCTCTTCCAACTCTATGATTAACAAACAAACATAAATAAGCAATCCAATTCACAGATCTTTCCTCACAACACATCTGCTTCAGCCCTTATACACAGATCTGAAAAAGATGTGTCTTTTCAGGGATTTTCCAGCAGCTTTCTTACACATTTTTTAAAATGCAAAGTGGGAAATTTAACTCAGAACTAGCCTTGGCAGAGAAACTGTTCCCAATGATTGTATTCCCCCCCCCCCCTATAAAATCACCTTTGTCATTGCATGCAACAACCCCGCCCCCCTTACTGAAATGGCATGTTTAAAATCTTTACATAAAGTGATCTGTTAGATCAAACGCTAGCGTGCAAGTCAGAGCCTGTGAAATATAGAAATCTGGAGATAGCAGTCCAACAGTCAATAACAAGCATATGCTAAAAGAAGTTTTAAATTGGTCTCTTTTTTATTTTCCTTTAGAAGATGGATAACTCTACTCAAAACACATGAGAGTCGAGTTCATGGTTCATTTTGTAGGGAGCAATGGAAAACATTTTAAGCCAAAATGAACTGGGCTTCTGCGCATCTCTTCGCTGAGCATTTCAGTTCTTTTACTAGTTGCTGTGCTCTTGAAGCGCCTGAGACATGAAGAGTTTGCCCAGGTTTTGTGCAGTGAACTCCTTGACGTTCTGGCTGTAAGTGTTTATTTGACCTGCAAAGAAGCAAAAAGACAGGGAGAGAGTTGGGGAGAGAGGAACAACATTTCTGAATTTTTCTCTTTGGAGAACAGAAGGTACCATCTCTTTTAAAAAAGCAAACAAACCCAGTTTCAGACATTCCATCCCAATCAATCAACACTTTGTCACACTTTGGCATGAAAGAATTAAAGGCTAGGCAATGGTGCAATGGTCAATAACCTTAATTCTTTAAATAGTCTAACACATATGTATTTATTTATATGCACCATAAAAACAGTAATATTTTAAAGATAACGAGTTTTAGCAGTTACTTATGTGTTGACTCAAACAATGTATTAATCATAAATGTGTTTCTGTTTATTCTCAGAATAGTCCCTTAAAAAGACAAATCTGAGATAAGGCTGAAACACACTGAGCATTGCATTCTGCACATCGAATCTAGTCCCTATTTATTATTTCACTGTATTACATATTTTCCAGTTCTTTGTTTCATTTCTGTACTTTGGCCTGACAGAGAAACAACTTGGGATGATATCATTAGATTACATGGGACAAAGTAGATAGGGTATAATTTAGGATGGTCTTGGGGAAAGAAAAAAAAGTATGTTCTGTGGACAATGGATTTTAAATAAAGCCCATTTCCCCCTCTGCCTATTTCTATACTGGGAAGAAATGTAAGTAGTCCTGTGTTTCCATCTCAAGACAAAGATACTGGCTTAGATTATCATGGGCAGAATCGGCTTTTGAAGGGCAAAACTCCCCAAGGCCTCAAATATGGCAAGTCTTTAGCTAGATGTGTAAAAGAGGCAAACATACAAGAGCCTTGGAGCTAGAATTTTAGACAGCAAGATCGACTGTCTAAGTCACAGATCCATGTCATTACCTCACAAAAATGTGTTTTCCGATTTGTTAAAAAATTGTTAATATGGGTCAATTTCTCTGCTGTTTCATTTGTTGATACGAATATCTACCTTTGTTTTAATGTTCTGAATGATTTTAAAAGTCCAACTATTCTTAAAAAAATATAAAATACACTCATCTATAACTCAACCCCATGTTGGGGCCAAAATGATGGTTTGATATTATCCATGTATAAATAAAAGGAGAAACACTAATGAAGAGAAGAAACACTAATGGCACCTCATGGGGCAGCTGTCTGTGGGCATCACTGCCATTTCTCCACCCAGACATTCAAAAATGCCATAGAGAGCAGTGGAGGTCAGTGCTTCTTTTAGGTTCTCCCAGGATGGAGTAAGTTCTTACCTTTCGCCAATCAGAGAAGGGTAGGTTTCCTTTATTGTTAACAGTTAAGGTGCAGTAATCCCATTGGTCCTTGGTTAAGTCAACCCAAGCTTTTTGAGTCATTTTTTATATTTTCAGACTTATACATGAATATTTAAGGAAGCTTGTGGATGTCATCAGTATAAAACAAAGAACTTTTTATCTAGAACTCATTTTAGTTTCAAGAAACCTAAGCATTTCTCTTATCTTTCTTCCTTCATAATACATAATTGTGGGCATTGATTGTCAAATGATATGTGATTGCTGCACTGGTCTCCATGGGTGATTATCTGTTTTGAGAATTTCTCAAAATCCACAGAAAAATCGCTACTAAAAATTAAATACTTGTTATATAAAACCTAGAAAGGATGACAAGAGGACTAGGGCATCTAACAACTCACAGGACTGTGGGAGTTACATTGCTTGCTATGAATCTGACAATTTTGTTTACTTCACTCAGCTGACATTGTGCAAGTCATTTTTTTTTTTAGTTAGCTCACACTATTAGACATTTTTTGAGCCAGAGGCTGTGAAATCTCTGTCTGAAGGGCTGTGCAAATAATTTTTAAAAGTCTCTCCAACGTTGTACACACACTGTGACTACAAATTCATTTCTCCTGCTTGTCAGGAAGACAACAAAACAAAAGTCAGATTATCAAAACTAAAACAGTTTAACCAACCAATACACTTTCAATTTGAAGCACTACCAAAAAAAAAAAAAACCCTCCAGAGACTAAACTATCCAACTTTCAGATTTGATCCCAATTTACTGAAATAAATCAGTGAACACTTTTGGTTGCTAAAAAAGGAGCGGGGAGAGCCAGTCCATATTTTGGCTGTAGACCGCTGGAGCACAAATATTCTGCAAAGATGGCCAAATTATAACCTACCAGAACACAGACATAAACTGAAGCATAACTGAAAACGTGTAAATACTTTGCTAAGATTTTCCCCTCCTCGCTCTCTTTAACAAGGACTGGACTGCTGGGAGAATTCATTGCCAGAATTCAAACCATATCCATTCACAGCAAGCCAAAAAGGAAAGAAACTATATGATAATGCTATAAAATTATGACATTGTATCCTGTTTGTATTAGATCATTTGAGTAACAGCATTTTCAGTGCCCATTACTTTGCACTTCAACAGTGATCATCAGTATATTATCTTTAGCTCCTGCTCTTGAAACATTTCGAGAGAGGTGACAAAGTTAAAAACATTGAGGCATCTTACAAGTAGCTTTTAAGCAGCTGATCCAATTCATAGCAAAAGGTCATTTCCAAAGCATGAAGACATTTCTCCAGACTCATCAGTCCAATGTTTCTCCACTATATTGCCTATTTTTTAATATAACTTTGCCTTAAGACTTTGATTCCTATTGTCTTTCCAAGGATAACATTTTTCTAAAAAAGGGAAATATGTACTAGGGTTTGCTCTCACTTTTACTGCAGTAGGTAACTCCAACCATGATAAAAAAAATGAAATGTTAACTAGCTGTGTAAGGATTTGCATTTAACACAACAAGACTCTCTCCTTCTGTAAAGAATCTGGCACTAGGAGAACCAGCAATGTGGGGTATTTAATTTAGGATTTAAAATTAATTAACAATATTCTGGAACATATTCTGGAAACATGTTGGACCTAAGAAGGTCTGGGTCTGGTCAGTATGTGAATGGGACTACGTAAGAACATGATATATGTTGCTTTAGGAAGCAAAACAGATGCTTACCATATATTATTTGAGCATTATTTAACTATGTTCAATAAGCATGGGAGAAGAGAGTGCATTGGCCTGACTCTTTCTATCATGGCTCTCCACATTTGGAGAGAAGTGAAGATAAAATACTAAAGTCTGCATAAAGACTCTTCACAAGACCTGGATCTTTGGAAAATTGTGTGGAGCCTCTGTTCTTTTAGCTGTTGCAGGGACAGCTTTATTCAGGTGCCACCGAATGAATAATGGAAGGAGGGGAAGCATACACATACAACATGTCTTCCGCTGTTCTCCGGACATGGAGAATGACATTCAAGGTATGCCAGTATGCTCCTCATTACTTCAACTCTTGAATTGGGCTAACTGCTTTTATAATTTCCATCTGGATCTAACACAACAATGTATACATTAAAAGCAATATTTGAAATATCACGTTAGTTTTATAGTATTTGCCTTCAAGCTTGTCAAATTCAAATGACAGCAGCTCAAGTGTCGGACACATACAGGGTACTTTGGGGAGTACTTTTAAAATGGCAGCACTTATTATTTTCTTGCTTACAGATTGCACTGAAAATAAGCAGAACTCCCAAAAGGGAAAATGTCCCTCCCCCTCAATGACACCTTACCTGCAATCAAGAGTGATTCCATCCTAGGAGGAGGCTGAGGCGGCTTGAACAATTTGTTCATGTCTTCTTCAGGAAGAGGAGGCTCTCCGCGACTTTGACGCTGCAGGTTTTCTTGCTGACGTCTTTGCTGGTACTGAAAGGGTACAAAAAGACAGCAGTAGGCAATCTGATCCAAAGCAGTGGTAGGCGATCTGATCACAACTTGTACTGAGAATGTGCAGGAGTTGCCGTAATATGATTTAGATCATTTCACAAAACTGGCCCAGCTTTTTAATAGCTGTCCTTTCTGGGAGAAGAAACACAACACTGTCTTTTAAAAATTACCTCTGGATTTGAGAAAAGGGACTGGGGTTTCCTTCCTACCCAGTGGAACAAGAAAGCTTCCATTCTTTTTTTAATTTAGTGATCTATCTAATCTCACCTGTCCAGGGGTTGAAGGAAGCTATCCCAGAGTGGAAAAGGAAAAAAACAAAGATGATCCTATATTTACATGCTTTAGAGGTGGCACTATATTTATTGCTTGAAATAGGTTGCCATGATCCCACATGCTTTTGAAACAGGATAAGACTTGGTATAAATGTTATAGAGAGATCTATCATGGCCAAGAAGCCTCCAAATCAGGCCTTCACAACCTTTCAGATATTTTGAACTTCAGCTGCCAGAATTCCTGAGCGTTGGACAAGATGGCTAGGGCTTCTCCACCTTCAGATGTATCACCTCTATCCCAAGTATTCTGATATATTCTAAGGCTTCCCACATTCAGAGACTATTTCAACTTTTTAAGGCTTTGAGACCATGCTGGATGTGGTCAACTTTTACCATGACATTTGGCTCATCCAACAGTGGAGTACAGAAATAAAGGGGAGAACTATACCTTGCAGCCTGAAGTGTGGAATCGGGAGGCAGAGAAAATATATTAGAGGAGGAGGGGACACTCAACAAATGCCCCAATCCCACCTCAATAAACAGTTCCATACAAAGATCCTCACATTTCAACATATGGAGAGAATCAGTAATATTGGACACACGAGAAAAGAAGGGATGTGAGTTGGTCTGGGATTGGTGTTAAATAGGTGAACTGGGATTTGGGCAATCCAAGTAGTAATCCCCTCAGAGAAATGAAATATACAGGGCAACCCTGAGCCAACCATTTTTTTCTCAACCTAACCAACCTGACAGGATAAGGGAAAAGTCATGCATAACATTTGAGCTCACTGGAGGAAATGGAAACATTATAAATGTAATTTGTACGGCAGTGATCATTTCTCCCTCTAATCTGGAGATTTGCTAGGTTTTGCTGATTTGCTAGATTTTGCTTATTTCAGCCAGGATCCAGTAGCACATTTACAGATCAATTTTCAACCCACTTTGTGCTTCGAGGATAGCAGGAATTAATACAGAGTATTTAGCAAAATATTTGCTCTCACTGTTCTCACATTTATCTCCAATCAGTGGGAGGCACAATTAAAATAAATGAGAGCTTTCATATATAAGAGTATGTGCTAGTTTTGCTTTACTCAGAGAGCAGACAGTTTAAAGCTCCAGTCTTTCTGGTTGTTGAGCAAAGAAATATCTGGTGACATTTTAACTCCTGACAAGAGAACCAAAAATACACCCAGACTTAGGAAATACATAAAGTTCTGTTATCTTGGACAGTGAGAAAGTGGAAAGAATTGGAGGAAACTGATGAAAAGAGAAAAAAAGATAAAAAGATAGCTTATCGGGTAAATTTATTCCCAAGACTATGCATTGAGGAGGTGCATTACTTACTGAAATTGCTTGCTCGTGAACACAACTGCTCTATATCTAAGTGTAATGAACAGACTGACTGTGCCGCAATGAGCCACATCCACAGCAATTATAGGGTGAGCAAGGACTGGTGGGTAACAGTGCTAGATTGCCCCCTCCTTTCTAATCAGTTTTTCCATCTCAGAACTCTTCTCATAAATTTACTCCTGCAGATTATATTGGCAAGCACAGGAGAGGGAAGGAGTCACAGCACAGCAATCAAACCCATGCTTTGCATGTAATGAATGTCTAGGATGAAGAGATTAGCTTTCTGAACTGCCCCTGTATATTTAGGAGAGGCAATATAAAGATCCTGCAATTTGCATCCTATTACGGGAGCCACATAATATCATGCTTTCACCCAAACTGATGTGCTTCAGACTGCCCCTGAAAACCAACCTGGTGTTTCTGCTGCTGCTGCTTGCTGGTGTTCCTTAGGTAGGTGTTGTATTTTACAATATCCTGGCTCATCTCATCCACTCTGTCCATCAAGAGCTGCAGGCTCTTTCCAAGGTGATTACTGAAACACACAAAGATTTGCAACCATGATAACTAGGACAGTATTTTCTTTCTGCAGCAGAATTAAGTAACCCTTCTCTCTGAAGGCACAGCAAGGTTTTAATCTACTCCAAAAGGTAATCTAAGATAACAGCTCTAGTATTTGCCATATAAATTGTTTTTTCTTTAAATATTGCTAAAGAGACATGACTTAAAAATATTGCTGACTAAAGCAGATTTATTGAACTTTTCTCATTTGCAACCCTTTTTTGCCCAATATTTTTTTTTCATGATCCCAGGTACATAAGAGCTGCCGGTGGCGCAGTGGGTTAAACTACGGAGCTGCAGAACTTGCTGACCGAAAAGGTCGCCAGTTCGAATCCAGAGTGGGGTGAGCTCCCGCTGTTAGCCCCAGCTTCTGCCAACCTAGCAGTTCGAAACATGTAAATGTGAGTAGATCAATAGGAGCCGCTTTAGCGAGAAGGTAATAAAGCTCCTTGCAGTCATGCGGGCCACATAACCTACAGACAACGCCAGCTCTTCGGCATAGAAATGGAGAATAGCACCACCACCCCGAGTTGGATATGACTAGACTTATTGTTAAGGGAAAATCTTTACATTTATGGGTACATAGTTATAAAAACAGATATAAAAATCAAGTATTACTGATAAAATAGCATTCAGCATGGAAAACAGTCTGATTTCCTTTTTTATGTTCTAAAGACCCCACCATAAACATTGCATGTTGTTGATAACAGATTCATGTAAATTTCTAGGTGGCATTCAAAAACATTTTACTGTTGCCAATTTTTGTGACCTCAATATTGAGCTAAAGGAACCACATTCAGGGTCAGGACCCACAGGTTAAGAAGTGGGCTGGAGGGCTCTCAGAGTAGTAGTTCAAAGAAATAACTTTCCAAGTACAGGTGTTTTTCTCAGTGTAGCTATCATTCTTTAAAATGTCAAATAGAAAAGAAACAAAAATCCTGATGTTAACAGTTTTGCTATATACAGTCCCAATATTGTAGAGCAGGGTTAGGGAATGTGTAGCCCTCCAGAGGTTATTGGACGGTAAGTTCCATCAAACCTAGTCAGCCCTGTCAATGGTGAGGAACATAGGACTTGCAGTCCAAAACTGGAAGACAGCATGCTCCCCATCCAGTACAGAGTCAATCGTCTCTTGTGCTGGCTATCAACCCGCACTCTGCATGCATTCAAAAGCACTATTATTTCACACAGCCGAAGGCAGCAATGAACTCACTCCCAGCTGAAATTCCAGACCGTCTGACTTAATCTGAGTTTCCAAATGTAAGTATTCTGATGCTTGAGGTTCTTACTTGATACTAAACTTTTTGACATATTTGGAATCATGCCTGATTTGGAAGTAGTATAAATAACATGAAATAATTACTTTAAGAAGGGGGAAAGCCCTAACTGAGCAGACCAAAGGTTCAGAATTTTGCTACTATAAGTGACAAGCTAAACATAAATGACGGGCCCTCTGCCATTACTGTCCTGAAACACATAAAATTCAAGAGATATCTCTAAGCCAGGATTAACAGCTACTCCTGCATCTTCCACAGCAGAAAACATTATGATAGTTATGCACTGTATTACTTCATACTGTGCACTAACTTTTCCAAAAATGGTTTCTTTCCAGATTTAAAAAATGGCATCAGATTTAGTCAGCATGATCAATGTCAAGGAGGATTGTAGTCTAAAATCCGTGGACAGATCCACACTGGGAAGGCTGTTCTAAATACTTTTGTACAGGAATTGATGAATATATTTATTTCATCTAAGTCAGTGGTTCTCAACCTGTGGGTCCCCAGGTGTTTTGGCCTACAACTCCCATAAATCTCAGGTAGTTTGCTAGCAGTTAGGATTTCTGGGAGTTAAAGGCCAAAACATCTGGGGACTCATAGGTTGAGAACCACTGATCTAGGTGGACAAATACATCATCATTCTGCCAATCCTGGAGAAACTCATTACTTTTGTACCATCATCTTAACCTGAGATGGAATAGATGATTGCTTTTGCTGTTTTCAGTATTTTAAATGTCTCGGTTTCAACAAGGTCTCTTCCAACTTTCTGTTCCTGCAGTCTTTCCTCATGGGTCCTTTTCTTTTATAGCTTTCACTTTGCAACTGTTAGGTATTGAATGAAATGGTTTTTATGAACATTGTGATTTAGCAGGGGGTACCAGTCACTAAGTCACATGCAAAACTAAATGGAATTACATTAAATGGAACTTAATATATTAATGGAAAACTTAGTCCGAGGGACTACTTTAAGTTAGTAATGCAAAATAGTGGAAATTAAGATAATGAGCTGCTATACATTCGTGTTTTTAAAAACCCTGACTTTTAAAAAATATTATGATTTCCTTTCCAGCGGAAAGGGGAAACAGGCAAGTATGGTATTAAGAGATCTGTACGAATGAGTACAATAAACACTTTTCCATTTTAAATATCGAATTCAGACAGTGTTAAGGAAGTTTACATCCCATTCATTTAGATGGGTGTACTTAACCTTCTCCAACCGAAATCTGTATGAGATCAAAATGTGAGTGGATGCCTCCTTAGATTCTACATACAGTAGCAGGAGTTGAAAGGTCTTTGTCTATCAAACTCAAAACACAATTAAGAAGCAACTAAGAGTGCTCCTTTTTGTCTTTTTCTGCTATGTATTTGTTTTTAAATAATTTCCTGTTCAATCACCTGAGAATCTGTGACACTAATTGAACTAACAACTTTTTTTCTGATAACAACTTCACTCCCTACAAAGGGGCTTTCAAATGGCAAAACCACTTTTTAAAAACTGCCAGGACTTCGAACTCATGGGCTACTCTGAATGTAGCTTCTGTTTCTTCTTATATCATTGTCCAGTGCCCAATCGTTTTTTTTAATACATTAATTGGCATGTACAATATTCATCCACATAAACCTAATTTAGTATATTGCATCTAATGCAGAAACATTAAATAAATGTTCATCATTTTCTGCAATTTTTTATCAGTCATAAGTGCATGTAAAAAAATTATTTGAGGGCTACTGTTCTGGAGGTGAAAGGGTGTAACCTCTTCCTAAGATGGCTGGCAGCTCTCATAAGACCCATTTATTTTGTAGGCAGGAAAAAAAGGGTTGGCAACAAAAAATAATTTCTCTTGGGTCAGTCTGTCAGGGCAGTTTTGCACTAGTATACTACCATTAAAAGCTTCAGTATTCTGGTGTTTCCTTGGCAATGAGAGTGAGCCAAAACAATGAAAAAAGGCAACAGGAACAGATGTCAATGGAGACAAAGTGATAAACCTGTATTAATTATGTAAGCAGTTTTTCCATAGTTTTCCACTATGCACCCAATGTTCAAATTTGCTTTCCTCTAGTAATACAAATAGAGGAACATGGAATAATTGATTGTCCATGTTTGTTGAGACAAGCTTTATACCCCCTACCTACTTTGTGACAGACCTTTGTGGAAAACATTTTTGAACACCATTTCTAATAAAAGCACAAAACAAAGTAAAAAACTGTCTATATCCCTCTGTTTTGGTAATGCTTCTTTTCCATGTCCTTTTGCAAAACTACTTTGCAGGATGCCTCAGCCTACTCAGTTAATACTTAAAGAAACTTATCAGGTTTTGATGGATCCTAGACCCGTCAATATATGGTTACTGCTTGGTGGGGGAGGGTGCCATGATCTTCATACTAAGCCTCAGGACAAGATCAATGAGAGTTGCATTGGTGTACTTTTGGATTAACAGTCCCATAAATGGAGCAGATACAGTTTGAGACCACATGCAGGTGCCTATGTGTGACAGCACAATCCACAGCTTTTATAACTTCCTCACAAAGGAAGCTTTTAAACATTAGTGCATAACTTTTGATTTATGAATGCCTGACAATACAAGAAAACTGCAACATCATGCTTCGTCCCTGATCACAAGAGATACAGGGACTGGCTGGTATGTAAAACGCATCTTGGTATGAGGAAACACTTCTCAAAAGTCCTTTCTGGCATCTAAAATCACAAGGACTAAAATCAAATAGCAAAGAGAAGTCAATAGTATACCGAAGCAAAACAAAAGGGCAACAGACAAAAAGGAACTGAGGGACAGGGCAGAAATCACTTCTTGTCATGCAGGAGAAGGGCTGTGTTAGTGCCAAACCCGTCACTTGCACTAGATGGTCCTTAACAATTTATGGCACAAGTGCAAGTGATTCAAATGTGTGAGGACCCCAAAGAAAAACAGAGACAAATGGGAAGTAGATCTTTCTACCAGGGGAGAAAAACCCTTTCCCAGGGAATTAAAATTTATCTTCCTTCTATTTTTGCAGCAGGAAATATTGTACATTGTGCCTAACACAAGATGCATAGTGACATCAACTACGTAAACCTTTGTTCTATACCTTTCCTCAACCTGTCTCCCCTCTGCATGATCCCAATGCACAAACATTTCAGTCACACTTCTATAATATTATGGAAGGATATACATATATCCTCAAACTTACAGAGTGATTTTTACTAGAAATCTAATGTGAAGAGTGAGAAAGGAGTACTTACTTGCTCGCAAGACTGAGCAATTCATGCCTTGCTGCTACTGCTGACTTCTTTTCTAGCTCCCAAAGAAGGACATTGATGAGGTAGGAATTCTTGATTATGATGGGTACTTCCTCAAACATGCTTTCAAAGGTGATGGTGGCTTTTTTTAATCTGGAAATAGAAATTGTAACACATGCATGTTTTTGAAAGCTTCCACTGGATTTAGCAAAAATACTCTTCAAGCAGTCCAGGCCGTTTCGCTCTTCAATTCCAGGAACAGTCAAACTTTTATAGCAAATGTGAGAAACAGCATGGAAAGTCTTTTTATTCCAGTTGAGGAGAAATACAACTAAATGAGTTTGGAGTCTAAATAATGGACAGCAGAGCAATGGTAATTCAAACTGGAATCTGGTAAATTCAGAGTTCTTTTTAAATTTGATGAGGGTCTCTTAATAAGAAAATCATTTATGAAGGACAATTCAGTCAGCATTTAGGTGTCTGCCTGAGCATGCTCCATCTGAGAATTTCCACCAGTTCTGTTAACTACCTGAACTGTTTAATATGTTGTTTGTTTAAATTATTTTGTCTTAAATGTTGTATAGATTAAAATTATCTAACTTGATTTTATTGCCCTTGAGATAGTAATATTTTAAAGGATAAGAAAGAAACAAGTGGGTAGGCGTATTTTATTCATATGTGAAAACAGTGAGGGCAATCGGGTTTGTCTTGTGGTACTTACATGTTAAGACTGGATGCCTAACACTAATGTACAGTACAAAACCTGCATCTATGGGGATACATTCAAAGGCTCCCTGGAAATACCCAACGCTACAGATAATAACAGGCCCTATATTTGCATTACCTTTGGGCCATAAACATACCACAGAATTACACTAAAAGACCCGGAGAGGTCCACAAACAGGAGAATACCATATATCTTGGTGGATTTAGAGATGCCCTAAAAGCCTCCCAGGAGGAAGATTTTGTGCAACATTGGTAAGTGAAACTGTGGTCATACGATGCTTGTAACACCAGCATAGTGCATTTTTTGTAGATGATAAGAGAAACATAGAATGCAATGCCCATCAATAGAGATGTCCTGTCAGCTCTTTAGCAGCTCAAGAGCCAGGAAGTCTCAGTCTCTCTCTCTCTCTTCTGTTTTGTTTTGTTTTGCCTTTTTGTATCACTACTAAGCTTTCTATCAATTTACTCTTACCCTTGCTGCCGACATCATCACTGTGCCACCACCTACAATGGCATAGTCATGGCAACCAACGGAGGTATGGGTTATGTATTTATACATATAACACCAGAATCCTCAGCAACTGGCCTTTTCTATTGTGTTGCGTTGACTCGAAACTGCATGTCAGGTTTATTGTCTTCTTGGTGCCAAGTGAAAATCTCACAGACCCATGACTTTACATTGTAATTTTCTCCTTAGTTTTTATCTGAACAAGTCTGAAATAATAATTATTAGCTTGGTATTGGAACCTGCTCTGGGAACTTGTCAGCAGGTGAACTGGAGAAGCAAATGTTTAAATCATTACAATGCCATGCCACGCAATGGCATGTTGGGGTTCTTTGGCAAACAATCCTCAAAATAGCCAGAAGTCAAAATAGAGAAAATGCATGGTTTTAACATGGTGCATTGCAAATCATTATTCTGGCTTGTCAACAGTTTTCACAGACCACCATGTTCTCCTATTTAATTAGAAACCATGTGTGATGACACTGGAAAAGCTTTAAAACCCATCTGATGTATTCACCCATGAAACCTTAGGCCAAATAAAACTCATTAGTCTTTAAGGTATCATAAGGCAGCTGACTTATCTGGCTACCCTCTTGGAAATTATCTCTCCTTTGCAGTCCTTTTTTACCTGGAAAAGGGCAAGGAAAATGATCTCTTAAACTGTAGTAACACAAAACAGAATGTGCCATAAATAAAAGTGCTGCAGTTATTCGGTATCCATGGGTACTGAGCACTTGAAAAGGTTTCCAGGAACGCACCCAAATAACCCTGTCCTCACACATTTCTTGCATGTGTAGGTGACAGCCATGGCTGCCATGTATCTTAAGGAGGCATATGTTGTTCTAAAAGTGCTCACATAACATCCTCTCTGAGAAAATGCAGCTATAGCCATATTATTGTCGAAGGCTTTCATGGCCAGAATCACTGAGTTGTAGGTTTTTTGGGCTGTATGGCTATGTTCTAGAAGCATTCTCTCCTGACATTTCACCTGCATTTATGGCAGGCATCCTCTATGGCAGCCATATTGATCTTTAAACTAAAACCACAATGCCATTGGTGATTCCTCTATTATGCTACCCTGGGGCCATAAAAATATGCTAGCCTTTGAAACTTATTAGTTTCTTCATCAGTTCTTCATCACCAATGGTTCTACTTCATCCTGGAAATAAGTGATTAGTGGAGTGCCGCAGGGTTCAGTCCTGGATCTTGTACTGTTTGGTATCTTTATTAATGACTTGGATGAAAGTTTAGAGGGCATGCTCATCAAATTTGCAAATGACACCAAATAATATCTAAATATACTTAAAATATTGAAAAACAAAAAAAAAATGTAATTTCCACAGTGGTTGTGGTTTCTTCCAAAAATGTCAAAGCAGAGTCCTTCCCAAATCATCATCAGCATCAGCATTGTCGTTTTCCAAAAATGTTGCCTTTTTGCTTTTATAATCTTTACGGTTTTAATATTTTGTTTTTCTCTTAAGGCCTGGATATCATTTTGACTAGGAAAGAAAGGGACAGTCTGTTGATCCTGCAGGCAGGCAGGGCACTATGTAAATATTTGTTTCACAAATTGGAGAATGAAGTGTTGGTTCCATTTCCCCCCCCAAAATTGCAAAAATCATTAGTTTATATTTGAAGTCTGAAAAATGAACTTGAACAGTATGTGGAAATAATAGTAATTGGGTTTCCTTGAGGGAAAGATCCCTTTGAAAGCTGGACAACTAAAACAAGTTAGTCATGATTATAGGGAAAAATGTCACTTATTAAAAAAGAAAAGCTACAGAGTCTCACAATATATGGAATCAGGAAATACAAAGTCTTCAATGCCTATCAAAATACCATCACAGTGTTTGTGAAATAACTGAAAAGGCATAATGGCTAAATAAGTTTTGTTTTTCATTAATTTTCTTTAAAATATATAAGCTTGTTCAGACACCTAGTAGATGCTCTGTGCCCTAGCAGAGGGGGTAACGAATAAGATGTTTTGGAGTGGACTTTGTAGACCTTCAAGAACAATCATTTTGCAGTCGGAGTTGGGGGAGGAGTGTTAAAGTACTTGGATGAAAGAGTAATCCATCCAATGCCTACAGGTTTTCCTCAGTATAAATAAGAAGATACCAGCGATAAAGATTTCCCTGAAGGTCTTTTATCTATTTTCTAATGGAAGAAGGAAGGGGCACCTGACACCTACTGACTCAATCTGGTATGAAGTCTAGATGCTACCTTTTGATCACCTTTGCTATGCTTTAATCTCTTGACCCAAATACAGGATACCTTACAAGTAAAATATCTCCATGTAATCCCTGCTCAAGCATAGTGCCTATCTCTTTGTTACTTCACTACTACTAATTGGATCTGAAGTCTCTAATACAAAACAAAACAAAACAAATTGTATGTTTTCAAGTCACTTGTCAACTTGTGGCAACCCTATGAAATTTATAGGCATGGAATACTCAGAGGTGGTTTGCCATTGTCTTCCTCTGAATATAGTCTTTAGAGCCCAGTATTTTAAAATATTGGGTGGTCTAAGAGTACATTGCTCTTGAAGTGTTGCTTCTCATGTAGCTGCAGAATTTATCACAAAAACAAGCTGGCCTCCTAATGATACAAGAAATAACTGGCTTGCAGTCTTGAGTAAGGCAGGAGAATCTTCTGGTATAGCCTTTTGATTCATGGTGAAACAGACATTCAACCCTTTTTCATTTTTTTCTCTCTAGAAAAGAGAACATTTGCTTTTTCCTGAGAATTGCTACACTATCCTATTTTTCATCCTGACCTCCTTCACTTTTTATATGGGGAAGAGAAGTACGTGATCACAAGGAGTATGCAAATGTCAGCTCTTTAAAGCCCACCCTTTTTCAGGGAGAAAAATGTAAATTTATTCACTAGAGGAGCAATTTATGCTCTAAACAGATTGCAGCTCCCTTTGCTCATTGATTTTTTTTTAAATGCAGTCTTCTAACGTAGAAATTGACTTCTGGCATTTTCCTCTTTATTTGTATGTTTCTACATTTTAGTTGATAGAAATATGCGGTGGAAAACTGTCCTTCTGACACACTACAATTGTCCACCCCTGTTCTAGATCATCTGTAGCTTCTCTTTACCCATCTCTACTACTCCTTTCCACCTAATGCCAAGGAAGCTGTCCTGACCCCAAACTGCTGTCTGTAATCAGTAATGGAATGGATAGGTAAAGGTAAAGGTAGTCCCCTGACATTAAGTCCAGTCATGTCTGACTCTGGGGTGTGGTGCTCATCTCCATTTCTAAGCCGAAGAGCCAGCGTTGTCCGTAGACACCTCCAAAGTCATGTGGCCGGCATGACTGCATGGAGCACTGTTACCTTCCCGCCAGAGCAGTACCTATTCATCTACTCACATTTGCATGTTTTCGAACTGCTAGGTTGGCAGAAGCTAGAGCTGACAGCAGAAGCTCACGCCGCTCCCGGGAATCGAACCTGCGACCTTTCGATCAACAAGCTCTGCAGCTCAGTGCTTTAACCCACTGCGCCACCAGGGGCTCCAATGGAATGGATAAGGGCAAACAAATCAAAACTTAATCCAGACAAGACAAATGCACTCCTGATCAGTCAGAAGGCAAACCAGGGAATAGGGATCCAGCCTGTGAAGCATGAAGTCACACTTCCCCTGAAGAAACAGGTTTACAGTTTGGGGGAGGGGGTCCTCCTGGACTCACAGCTGAACCTTGAGACCCAGTTATCTGAGGTGGCTGGGACGGCCTTTGCACAATTAAACTTGTGCACCAACTGTGCTCGTTCCTTGAAAAGCTAGATCTGGCCATGGTGGCACATGCCTTAGTTATATCCCACCTGTAATTACTGTAACATGCTCTAAGTAGGGCTGCCTCTGAAGAGCGCTCAGAAATTTCAGCTAGTCCAAAGAGCTGCAGTCAGGTTACTCACTGGGGCTGGCTACATGGAATGGGGAACCCCCCTGTTGCAGCAGCTCCACTGGCTGCCTGTCTGTTTCTGGGTACAATTCAAAGTGCTGGCTTTTAAAGCCCTAGACGGTTTAGGTCCAGGTTATTTGGCCAACCGCATGCCCTTGTACAAAGCTTCCAAGGCACTGAGATCTTCAGGAGAGGCCCTTCTCTTGGTCCCACCTCCATCTCAAGCTTGGTTGGTGGGAGCAAGAGAGTAGGCCTTCTTTCTTGGTGGCTGCTCCTGTACTCTGGAACTCCCTGCCCAGGGAAACCAGAATGGTCCCCTCCCTGATGTCCTTCAAGCAGCAGATTAAAACTTTTTTATTCAGGCAGGCTTTTAAAGATGAAGGTCCTGTAGTTTTTAACTGCTTTGATGATTTTTAACTGTGTATATGTTTAATTTGATTTTTATGCTTGTATTTTTGTATATTTTAAATTGTATACTAATGCTTTTATGTCAGGCCGCTTTGAGTTCCCTTGGGGAAATAAAGCGAGGTAATAATAATAATAATAATAATAATAATAATAATAATAATAATAGAGCAGCCATCAATTACAAACTACAATTGAATGACTTTAGCAGTACTTGCAGAATAATCACACACAAGAAGTATTGGGAAAGCTGGAACAAAGATAAGTTCCAGACTATGTTGCATATTTATTTATTTAATTCGTTTACACTTCGCCTTTCTCCCAACAGTAAGTTTCAAGTTTGTTATTATGTCACAGCTCATCTTGTCAAATCAAGGAAGGGTCTAAACTCCATTTTTCTATTTAGCAAATTTCTTGAAGTTCTACAATAAACTTGATTCTTTAGTTTTAATATATAATTAGGTCCTAATCACAGTTCCAAGAGAAAATTGCTTTGTGGCTAGGGACAATCCCTCACACATTCTCATTGAAAAGATATGATATTGATGATAGCAGCTATGGACAACGTTGGCAGTTCCTTCTTCCAAGTGCCTGAACACAGAGATAGATAACGGGGCTGGTACTCAGAAACAAATAATCATCATCATCATCATCATCATTTATATCCCACCACCATCTCCCAAAAGAGACTCGGGGCAGCTTACAAGACACTGTGGTGCTAACTAAAGTGCCAGAGTGTCAACCTCAAATGGGCTCATTTCAGCCTACTTGAGGCCAAAGACCTGCTTAAAAATCCATTTTTTAGGCTGGATCAGAAAGATTCAAGGGTGGGGGCTAATCTAATCTCCTTCAGGAGGGTATTCCAGAGCCGGGGAGCCACTACAGAGAAGGTCCTTTCTCTCTCCCCCACCAACAGCGCTTGAGACAGTGGTGGAATAGAGAAAAGGGCTATGAAACAACAGAGCCAACATAATATATATGCACTTTAGGACACTTAGGCACAAGAGAGACACCTCTGCCACAAAAATGGTACAGGTCCTGAGTCAAGCTTATACTCAGAACCTTTCATTTTCTCTCTTTTCTACTCGATTTCATTTGGCTTTAACATCACCTTCTCTTTGGAGTGTCAGCAAGGAGGTCACATCCTTTTGTAGTAAAGTAAATGTTGCTCCTTTACCTGATCACCTGTCACAGCTTTGAATATATTGAGCTCTTGCAAAAGCATATATATCATCCCAACCACACACGTTCTTCATGAATGATTTAATCCTCTTTCTCCCTCATTCTGTCACCCAAGTTCCAAAACATCGCTTGTACTTACGCTTCTGGCGAGAAATCCTTTTCTTTGCAGACCTCCATCAATTTAGGAGTCAGTCTGTAAGCTTTCAGGGAAAGATATCCCTGGGAGGTTTTTATAGGATCTGAGAAAGAACAAGAGCAAAGAGGGAAAGATAGGGAGCAAATATTTATTCATGCAAATGTATCTCAACACTTTTAAATGGGGTAATTTTTATTTTCCAGTAAACATCTAAACAGTTTTCTGAAAGACATTTAATGAAACTGCAACCCCGAGGCAAAGTCATTCAAATTGTACACAAATATATTATTAAAATGTATCATCTGCTTTTCCAAAGCTCAAAGCAGCAGACCAAAAACATCCAATCAATCAAACAACATCCAACAATGAAAACATATCTTGCAAATGAATGTCAACAAAATCAGCAATCATTTATTTATAGCATTTGTATGGTGTACAATTACAAAAGTTCCCTAGGTGGCTAAACTGGCAAGTGGCAAAATCAAGAGGGCCAGAAGAAATGAGGAGTTTTAGGCCAAGACAGAAACAAGTTTTGATAAAGAAGTTGCTATGCTCTTAGAAGGATTAATACCAGTGTTGCTGGCATGCAATTATAATGATCTGATCTTTAACCTGTACCATGGAAATCTGGGAAATCTTCCAGGGAAAAATGACATAGCAGGTGATAGTCCTTGGGAGAATTTGTGTCCTTACTGCTGTGAGCTTTAACGCATCACAACAAACACCTTGAATTCTGTCCAGCTAATACCCAATTTAAAACAAAGGAGGAAAACAATGCAACACAAGGAAACAACATTTTATCAAATATGTGGTGTGATCTGAAAAGACTTTGAGACATATATTCAGGCAACATTCCTTTGAAAGAATAATGCAGTACAACCTCAGTATCCTCCGGGTATATATTCCTGGATTTAACAGTTAGCAAAAATCATGGATAACAGTGAACCTCGTTGAGCAAACAAGATTTGGGGGACACCTCTCTACGCATTGCTAGGTCCTCCATAGCAACTCTATTGTCAGCTTCCAACAGAAGCATATTATAGTGTTGTGCTGGAGAACCTAAGAAATTCCTAGTGAAGATGTAAATGAAACCATGGGTTCCCATAGATGCATGAGTCATACTACACTGCCACAAGAGGAAAATTATATTTTTGTGTCCATGAAGACCTTATCAAAATACACTGGGTGTTGTACAAGCACATTTGACAGATTTAGAAAAAAAAACTTTTCCTAATAGAGCAAGGATTGTGCATAATAATGTACCAGTCACATAACTCAGCACTCCAAAAACATAAATTCTATCTAGAAATGAAGTTTCCAGACTAATTATTATTACAGAGAAAGGTCTGGCAAGTGTACTGACAATGCTGGGTGGAACTCAGTGGCAGACCACATGCTTTGCGTGCATTCTGCTCTCACCCCAAGATTTAATCCCTTAGTGATAGAAAGCATTCAACAAATTGAGGACATGAAGAGTACATAGGTGCCAGAGAGTACATAGGTGCCAGGGAGTACATAGGTGTATGCCTAGGAGAAGGCAGCTTCCAATTTCCCTTGGTGGTATCATTATAACAGAGGGAAGGGGGTTGGATTGGGTGGCCCTTGTGGCATCTTCCAACTCTATGATTCTATAATTCTACTTGGTTGTTTTATATTGAGTGCTACAGGGACCTGTCCAACCATCTTTATGTTGCTGTTTTCGATCATACTCTGGACTACTTCTCCAAATAATGGGCTGTCTCAATAGGATGTCCCTTATATGCTACTATAACCACAATTTATTACCTGATTGTTTTCCAGGTCAGAGTGGATCACTGTAGCCCTTTCAGTTGTTGGAATGGAAAACACATCGGCCAGTTAGCATCAACAATTTACAGAGGCCAAGGGAACTGTATCCCAACAACATCCATAAGACCTCAGTTAAGAAGGCCTTATTCAGAAAGCCAAGTTAATCAAGTAGTGTCTAAATAGCAGCACTTCTGCAGAATCCTAGAATCAAAATTTTGGAAGGGGCCTTATGGATAATCTAGTCCTATCCCTTGTTCAATGCAAGATCTCCAGCTAAAGCATTTCTAAAGGGTAGCAGATCAGCCTCTTTTGAAGATTTCCAGAGAAGACTCAGCCATCTCTCTAAGCAATTGGTTCAATTGCTGAACCACTCTTACTATCAAGAAATTTATTCTAATGTTCAGTTAAAATCTATTCTCCCGTGACTTGTTCCTAGAGATGGGAATTCACAAGACTGAATCTCTTCCTTAAAAAAAAAAAACCAATATCTTCTTGCAGAAAGCTGTAGATCAGGAAAAAACTAGACTTTCCCTTGACTACTTTTTCATGTGGAGGGTGGTAGAATTGTATGATATTCAGTCATAAGAGCCCCCTACTTGCACTATCAATAATCGCAAGCCAAACACCACTTCCTTACTTTTGTGGGAGCTTCACAATGACACTGTGACCTTTCTGTGGGTCCAGAATGTACATCTGGACCACCAAGCTTTATTAGGAAAATGTTTGTCAAATCTTTCCAGTTGCATTTTTAAAAAAATAGGTAAACAGTTTTCAAATTTACACACTATCTTATAGAATGTAAAAAGTGGTATCTTTTTGAAAAGTCCATTTAATTTCTAGGATCAGGGAGTTTAACATCTGTAGCCAGATAACAGCTGAGCCAGTCTTGCCAAACAGCAAACTTTTTTTTAAAGGTTACCGTTTGTGTTGTCTGAAACTGAACACAGTCAAACCTTTAGCAATCAGTGATAAAATGAAAACCAAAATAGACTGAAACAAGTGGAAAATTCATCAAGATCTGATGATGCAATGTTTCCAGCCAGTATAAGTATACTTTAACAACTTGTTCTTTACTGTAATCCAATTGTTAACATACTGAAACAATTTTGGGGCAGCTCATAAGATTGATCGTATTCATTAGTATTTTTTCTGACAGATACTCAGGACGTTACATTTACTTCTCAGCTGGAAACTATACGCGAGCCTGCCAGATATGGCAAAACTGTGAGTGTTCAGGGAGGGGAAGGCTATAAAGCTGTTAAATTGCCTACGGTTCTGATACAGCACAGAACATCTGGTCTGGAGAGCTTGAGGAAACGCCATTAGAAAAAAAAGTCGGCGGAAAAGAAAAAAATCTTTGTGCTACGAAACAGTCCAGGTTTTGTACGCTTCTGTCAGATGCATAAAAAGGAGGTGGAAAGGGGGGGAGAAAGACTTGGCAAGTTACATTATGATTGGCCAGTCACGTAGGGACCCAGACGCTCTAGCAGGCAAGAGTTTGTTAAGACATCTGGTCGAGCTCCACCATCCCCTTCCATGCAGGAGGGGGAGCAGCGGAGGAATAAAAATGAAGCAGCTACTCCAGCATTCCAAAACGTACACATCAGGGCTCTGATAGCAAGAAAAATAAACAGAAAGAAGGAAACCCTGTCTAGACTTCACTGCTGCTGAGGCTGCTGCAGACACAGGGTTGGTATTTACTCGAAAAAGGCCTGCCAAAGCTGCTCTTACAGGCAAGAGATCGAAGACAAAAATAGCCCTAATAAGATCAAGGGGGTGGTGGGTGTAGCGTGGTGGGGCTGGGGTAGAATAATACAGGAAACGGCACACTAACCGTAAATGAGAACGACAGATTCCTCGATCGCATGCTGGTAACTGAACTGGGAGTCCAAGAGAGCCCGGGTGACAAAGGAGCCATAGTAGGTAGACTGGTACCAGCCGACGTGAAGGTGATCGATGTTTACGTGGCGGAGGCTTCGCATCATTTCCATCTGATATTGCACTGGGAGGGGGAGAGAGAGACACAGAAATCAAACACCAGACAGGATAACCTTTCATTAATGAAAGCCCCATAGTTTTTCCTGAACAATACACTTAATTAAATACGAAGGCAATTTGCACTTGTTTGAAGAAATCTGCCCGGAGCCAACCCAAGAGCCCCTTGAGGCCCCTGAAATGAAGGGCAAGAAGGAGAGTTCTTCTGTTTCTGAGATAAACTTTCATGTTTCAGCAGTAGGTTTGCTGCTTTGATTTCAGATGTACAACAAAGGATGGCTTCTCATTTCTTCTCAGCGTTGTTTGTTCCGAAGGAAAGACTGTAGGTCAGGGATTTATATCCCTAGCATCTTCAGTTAAAAGGAACAGGCAGAAAATACAAGGAAAGGCTTTTGCTTAACACCCCACAAAGCTGTTACCAGTCAGAGGAAACCAAAAGGGGATAGATAGATAAACTGCCTGAGGCTGGTATAAAGAACCCATTCTAGCTGGTCGAAGCAGAGAAAAATGGCAAGAAGATTCAATCCATTAGCTATGCTGGAAGACCACTGGAAGGACAACTGCACTCTGCCTCCCTTACAATGATCATCATACCATACCCAGGTTATAGTTAAACATGGATTTCTCTCTCTCTTTCACACATGCACACACATGTATGGGGATGGTCTATCAGTTCAATAAAAAGACTACAGTAAGTCTTTGATATCTGCTGGAGTTTTGTTCCAGGACCCCTCTTAAATATCTAAATCCATGGATTCTCAAGGACTCTTATATACAATTGCATAAAAATGATGTCCCTTATATAAAATGGCAAGATCAAAGTTTCCTTTTGGGTTTTTTTTAACAGTTTCAAGTTGTGGATGGTGGAATCCATTGAAGCAGAATCCATGGATACAGAAGGCCAATTGTAATCCCATTCAACGTATCTATGCCTTAATGCAGTGTTTCTCAACCTTCCTAATGCCGCGACCCCTTAGTACAGGTCCTCATGTTGTGGTGACCCCCAACCATAATGTTATTTTCGTTGCTACTTCACAACTGTAATTTTGCTACTGTTATATGAATCGGAATGTAAATATCTTATATGCAGGATATATTTTCAGTCACTGGAACAAATTTGGCACAAATACCCAATACACCCAAATGTGAATACTGGTGAGGTTGAGGGTGATTGATTTTGTCATTTGGTAATGCTGGAGTTGCTGGGATTTACAGTTCACCTAAAATCAAAGAGCCTTCTGAACTCCACCAGTGATGGAATTGAATCAAACTTTGCACACAGAATTCCCATGACCAAGAGAAAATACTGGGAAGGTCTGGTGGACATTAATAAAGTTGAGGGGAGCAATAGAGTATGGTTGTATAGTTACTCTCCAAAGGCGCAATGGAAAAGTCAGGTTTTAAGATTCTTTTTAAAGGTTTCTAAGGTGGGGGCTTTCCTAATGTCTCCGGGCAATGAGTTCCAGAGTCAGGGGGCCACAGAGGAGAAGGCTCTCTCCCTTGTGCCCACAAGGCAGGCCTGTGATACTGGCAGGGGCGAAATGAGGGTCTCCCCCAAAGACGGAAGAGCTCAGGCTAGTGTAAAACATATTCCCCTTGAAAACACAGTTTTTATGATACCAGCCTTATTCGGTGTCAGGTTAAAACTTCTCATTTTAGAAAGCTTTTATGGCCTACAGGTCATGGACTGACTAGGCTTCAGACCTTCATTGCAGTGTGTATACTGTTTTATGTTTTGACATTGTTATTGCTTATTGTGTATTTTCTGTTTTTGAGTTTATTTTAACTGTTTTGTATTGATTATTGTTATTGCTTTTGTTTATTGATGTGCTGTGGGCTTGACCTCATGTAAGCTGCACCGAGTCCCTTGGGGAGATGGTAATGGGGTACAAATAAAGGAATATTATTATTATTATTATTATTATTATTATTATTATTATTATTATTATTATACAGCTTTCTTCAAACTGTCTTGTATTATTTCAAACTTTCATTTTTTTGTTTTTCTGCCTGAACTCCTTCTTGAGATCTTTTCATAGTTGATCATCCACATCCACAGATTCTTCATCCACAGATTCAACCAAAATCCAAACTTTGATTTTGCTATTTTGTACAAAGGATGACATTTACTATGTTATTGTTTATAATGGGACTTAATGAGGAATTGATCCTCAGCAGACACCAAGAGCTCTCTGTACTATAAGAGATAATTAAAAATAAATAAATAAACCAAGCCTCAAGACAGAAGGTGCTCTGGAACCTGGTAGTCAAAATGGTATTTTTTTCCAAGCTTGCCAAATTATCTTTTGTGATGTTTTAAAATATATTACAAAGAGAAAAGACACTATATTCGTGTTACTTATGGATTTAATGTAAGGACTGGTACACTCCAGACTGTGAGTTTGATTTCTTCTGGCACTTCAGATAATCTCAGTGCATCATCCTGAAAGCTGTTTGGATGGGACTGCTTTGATGTGGAAAGTAACCCAAAACAATTTACTAGGCTCTAGTAAAACAAGTTTCATTCTGTAAAGATTTTTTTTCCTGGCCAAAAAGCATACCTGTTTCATCTGAAAACCATCTACCTGCCTCACAAAACTGTTAAAATGATGACTTCCATGAAGTATGAAGAATAAAGGATATCATCTTTTCCTATATGGGAGCAGCTGCTGCTTTTATCTCAGAAAACACACACACACAAACACACACTATGTTTTTTGGTCCTCCTTGTTCCTTCATCCACCCTTCTGGCAATAGCCTGCTTCTCTTGACATGTGTCCCAACTATTAAATGCGTCTAGGTCAAGCTTGCGTGTTTCCATCTGAGCAACAGCCACACTCTCGACATGCTAGAATGGCAAAGCTAATCTTTGTGGGTTATGCCTGTCCTCTCTCCTTGCCAATCCCTTCCTTCAAGTGTTCTCCTTTTACACTGTCAGCTTCCTCCTTTGCCTATAGCCCTCGATTCCAGCGTCTTCTCCAAGGGGCTCACAGATTCAGCCCTCAATGCTGACCTTCTTGTGATCAGCCCCAGCATTGCGTCCAACTCTAGTCTGAAACCTGCCAGGATTCACACTTCGGCTGCCCACGGGCTCGCTTCCTATGGCCCAGTGCTAACAGTCTCTCTCTCCTTCCCAAGCCAAGAGCTATAAAAAAACTTGGTTCAATTCAATGGATACTTAGCAAATGCTGAAGCGTGGCAGCTGCTTTACTATAAAGAATAAACGTATCCCAGTTAGAAATATAGAATCCTGAATGAAAAAGCATATATTTGTTTTAGAACATTTTCTCTTTTCCACGTAGCCACTCCTTCTGTCCCACTTCCACATCAGTACATGTGTGTGAGTGTGTGTGCGCGTGCGCGCACTCGCAATCAATAGGAATTCTGGTGAACACAGAAATGTGTGCATATTTTGTACGCATTTCTCCTGAATGCATGCATGTATACAACTTGCTTTTCAACAGTCCGTCCTTTCAACTCTTCTACAGTGGGCCCTGAAACCCAAACATTGGATACATGGTCTGCTTTTCTGTCATTGTTTGCACAATGGTTTTGTGATTATGTGATACTTTTTCTCACAGCCAACTCAGAAGCTTTTGTTCCTCCTCCTGCAGTTAACTCAGCTACATCTTTTTCATTTAAGTCATTTGTGGTGCAGTGTGTCTCTTATACAGTACTGTCTATTTGTACTTATAAGGTAGTATTCAGGCACTGATTATATTAATCATTACAGCATGTTTAATAATTAATATACATTTTATTTATTATATTATAAGGGCAAATATAAGTTCTGTTTAAATACTGCTTTAATCATTACAGCATGTCACCTCACCAAGTAAGAGTCCAAAAGTGGCAGGTTAAAACCTGGAACCTCAAGCCATGGCTGATATCAAATGAGAGACTCTCCCCTGGGCACACAGAAGATTGGATAACTTGGAAGGCGCTAAACAGATGCAGAGCCAATCTTAAGAAATGGGGCCACAAAGTGCAGCCTATGACATGTGAGTGTGGAGAAGAGTAAACCACAGACCACCTATTACAATGCAGTCGGAGCCCTGCCGCATGCACAATGGAGGTCCTTCTTATAGCAACATCAGAGGCACTCCAAGTGGCCAGCTACTGGTCAAAGGACATTTAGTATAATGAAAAGGGCTTTTTAAAAAGTGTTTTTTAAAATACATTACAAGTGTACCCTCGGTTTGCTTCTGATATGATAAATAAAATAAATTACAGCATGTAATATATTACACTACACACACATACACATATATGTACAGTTGGCACTCCATATCTACTGATTCACCAATTCATGGTTTGAAAATAATTTTAATATTTTAAAAAATAAAGTTCAATTTTAACGTTTTATATAAGGGACACCATTTCATTACCCCACTGCATAAATTACAATTTGAAAACCCGTGGATTTTGGTATCCAGAGAGGCCTAGAACTAAACCCCAGCAAGGGGACCACTGTGTGTATGTATAAATCTCATTTATCCAACATAAACAGGCCAGCAAAACGTTGGGTAAGTGAAAATGTTGGATAATAAGGAGGGATTAAGAAAAGCCTATTAAACGTCAAATTAATATTACAAATTAAGCACCAAAACATCATGTTTTACAACAAATCAACAGAAAAAGCAGTTCAATACACGGTAACATTATCTTGTAAGAAACATTTATTCTTTTTGCTATTTCACATCACATAGATGCCTATTTTTTGCAGTCCCTTTCCATTTGAGTACATAACATGCTTCTAACCTTTATGTTTGATTTCTCCACTTTACAGCACTCTTTTCGCACAAAGAATGGCATTAAGAATAAAAAGCCTAACCTCTGATTTTGTGTAGCAAGGAATTTGCCCCAAAGAGACAACTGTACTTTTATAGGAATATACAGAGTATCCTTTTAATGTCACTTATCTGAATGAGCATATGAATATTGTCTAGTTTCTTCCATCATATTATCCATTTACCAACTAAGAGAAAAATCCAACTATTATTTCAA